TGTTGCAGGCGTTTCATGTTTAAGGTCTAAAACATCAAGCATAATAAAAGTTACATAAGAACTGCCTTTAACAATCTCAGTCCTCCTGCTTCATGCTGAAGAGCTCCCCCTGCTATAACCTGGATGAGTGAAAAACTAAATGAGTTTCTCTGCTGATCTAACTTTGATGTATTTTTGGGCTAGTCCGCATATAAAGCATAAGAGAAACAAAAAAGCACAGGTTTAGCTCTACAAGGTTAGAGATAAATGGATTTTTTTTTATTTAATTAATTTTAGTTCTTAAGTCATAATTCGTGTTTATATGTTGGGTTGTTAAATTTTGTTAGTAGGGATGTATTGTTGTTGTATTTGGGCATTGAATATTTGCCTTTTATATTTGGATCTGCCCTGAGTCCCTCTGGGGAGACAGAGCAAAATATAAATAAAGTTATTATTATTATTATTATTATTATTATTATTATTATTATTATTATTTTACTGACTCAAAAGCACAGTATGTCACGGCAAATGAGATCTATATGCTGGATTTCGTATCACAAAATCATGTCGAACACTTCCCAAGCGTCTAGGACTGTGTGATTTATTATTATTATTATTATTATTATTATTATTTTACTGACACAAAAACACAGTATGTCACAGCAAATGAGATTTATATGCTGGATTTCGGATCACAAAATCACAAGTCGAACACTTCCCAAGTATCTAGGACTATGTGATGTATTTTCGAATGGTGGGCGCAGATCCAAGTAAGGTGGCATTTTGCAGTTGACAGATCGTGATTTTGTCAATGTTCGTTGTTTCCAAATGCCCACTGAGATCTTTTGGCACAGCACCTAGTGCACCAATGACCACTGGGACCACCTGTGTTGGTTTATGCCAGACCCTTTGCAGTTCGCTTTTGAGGTCTTGATAGTGGCTGAGTTTTTCCTGTCGTTTTTCTTCAAAGCAACTGTCACCTGGTATGGCAACATCAATAATCCAAACTTTTTCCACAATCGTGATGTCTGGTGTATTGTGTTCCAAAACTTTGTCAGTCTGGATTTGAAAGTCCCACAGTATTTTTGCGTGTTAATTTTCTACTACCTTTGCAGGTTTATGATCTCACCAATTCTTTACTGCTGGCAGGTGGTACTTGTGACATAAGTTCCAGTTGTTATCATTATTATTATTATTATTGACACAAAAGGACAGTATGTCACAGCAAACGGGATCTATATGCTGGATTTTGTATCACAAAATCACAAGTCAAACACTTCCCAAGCGTCTAGGACTGTGTGATGTATTTTCGAATGATGCGCGCAGATCCAAGTAAGCTGGCCTTTTGCAGTTGACAGATTGTGATTTTGTCGACGTTTATTGTTTCCAAATGCCGGCTGAGATCTTTTGGCATGGCATCCAGAGCGCCAATGACCACTGGGACCACCTGTACTGGTTGATGCCAGAGCCTTTGCAGTTCAATTTTGAGGTCTTGATAGCAGTTGAATTTTTCATGTTGTTTTTCCTCAATGCGACTGTTACCTGGTATGGCGACATCAATAATCCAGACTTTTTTCTTTTCCACAATCGTGATGTCTGCCATATTGTGTTCCAAAACTTTTGTCAGTCTGGCTTCGAAAGTCCCACAGTATTTTTCCATGTTCATTTTCCACAACCTTTGCAGGTTTATGACCCCACCAGTTCTTTACTGCTGGCAGGTGGTACTTGTGACATAAGTTCCAGTTGCTGTTGTTATTATTTATATTATATTATTATTATTATTTTACTGACACAAAAGCACAGTATGTCACAGCAAACAGGATCTATATGCTGGATTTTGTATCACAAAATCACAAGTTGAACACTTCCCAAGCGTCTAGGACTGTGTGATGTTTATTATCATCATCATCATTATTATTATTATTATTATTATTATTATTATTTGTTTGGTTTTCATTTTAATGCAGACTTACCTAGTTTCACGTTTTAAAAACCAACCCATGAACCAAAATATGATTCTCCAAGAAAATGTATATTTAGTAATAATAAATAAATAATAAATTTAGTAATAATAACTTTATTTTTATACCCCACTACCATCTGTGACTCGGGGCAGCTTACTAGGGGACAAGCCCGAAAATACAGATTAAAAAACACATAATAAAATAAAGCACAACAAAATAAAATTGAAACAAAATAAAATATTTCTCTGATGTTCACAATCAAATGTCCCAGTTTTTTAAAAAATCAATTCACAAAAGTGTAAATTTGACCAAACTGGGGCCAAAATGTAAACAAATACTAATTAAAACTGTTTATAAAACTCTCAACATTCGGAATGAACCGAATGTATAGGGCGGAGAAGCTCAGGGAAAGGAATTGTAAAAAATTAGAAGGTGAGAAAAACTAAAAAATTAAATCTGACAGATGTGACCCTTGGAAGAGGAGGCCAAACCAAAGCTTTGCTCTTTAATCTTTGGGCTGATGCTATATAGGCTTCCCATTTTGACCGGAAGGGGGCATCTTCCCTCCATATGAAGGTCTCCCACCAGTTCCCTTTAACAGCAGGTCTTTGGCCTCTGGCAGAGGTGCCTTGTTTAAACAGAAGCACAAACAGCCCTCTCCTCCCTCCCCCAGCGCCTGGCACAGAGTCCTGCTTAAAGCACAGAAAGCACTTTCAGAGAGCCTTGCATCTGGGCCAGGCAGAGCATGTTCCTTGGTACAAGGCAAGAAAAACACTGCCTTTCGCTAGCAGAGGCAAAACTAGCTAGAAAGTAGAGAGATTTGTCTGCCTTCACAGTGCAAAAAGTAATGTGAAGAAATGCATCATAAAAAGGAGGAGGGGATTCTATTCTATCACATTTATAGCAACAGGTAAGTGGGAAAGTAAAAGTATCCTTTATATCAGGCTTGGCCAACCTGTGGACCATTGGCTGCATGTGACCCTGGATGCATATGAATGTACCCAAACACATAAATTTACTTAAAAGATTATTATTATTATTATTATTATTATTATTAGGTTCTTGTGGGTTTTTTCGGGCTATAGGGCCATGTTCTAGAGGCATTTCTCCTGACGTTTCGCCTGCATCTATGGCAAGCATCCTCAGAGGTAGTGAGGTCTGTTGGAACTAGGACAATGGGTTTATATATCTGTGGAATGGCTGGGGTGGGGCAAAGAGCTCTTCTCTGCTGGAGCTAGGTGTGAATGTTTCAACTGACCACCTTCATTAGCATTTGAAGGCCTGGCTGAGCCTGGGAAAATCTTTTGTTGAGAGGTGTTAAGATGTGCCTGGTTGTTTCCTCTCTGCTGTTTTGCTGTTGTAATTTTAGAGTTTTGCTGTTGTAATTTTAGCTACCAGTATTAAAAAAACCAGAGAAGTCAGCCATAGCAGAGCATCTGATGAACCAGCCTGGACACAGCATATTATTTGAGAACACAGAAATGCTGGACCACACCAACAACCACCATGTCAGACTACAGAGAAGCCATTGAAATCCACAAGCATGTGGACAATTTCAACAGAAAGGAAGAGACCATGAAAATGAACAAAATCTGGCTACCAGTATTAAAAAACTCTAAAATTACAACAGCAAAACATCAGAGAGGAAACAACCAGGCACATCTTAACACCTCTCAGCAAGAGATTTTCCCAGGCTCAGCCAGGCCTTCAAATGCTAATGAAGGTGGTCAGTTGAAACATTCACACCTAGCTCCAGCAGAGAAGAGCTCTTTGCCCCACCCCAGTCATTCCACAGATATATAAACCCATTGTCCTAGTTCCCACAGACCTCACTACCTCTGAGGATGCTTGCCATAGATGCAGGCGAAACGTCAGGAGAAATGCCTCTAGAACATGGCCCTATAGCCCGAAAAAACCCACAAGAACCTAGTGATTCCAGCCCTGAAAGCCTTCGACCCTTCAACAATACATTATTATTATTATTATTATTATTATTATTATTATTATTATAAAATAAGTTTTATTGATTTTCAGTCTAAAATGAACATTTACCCACATATATACAATCACATTAAACACTGTACATTCAACGATACAGACACAAATACATATACAGACGATAAAGATAGCTGGAACACTAGCCTGCTTGGGTGTACTCCTTCACTTTATAAGTACTTTTCTTCATAGATCTTTAGCTTAGGCTAGCAAGACAGAAGAGGAGAGAAAAAAAGGGAAAGAGAAAAAAAAAACACACACACCAAAATGGTCTATAACTCGGACCAAACACAAAACCTTAACACATACGTGGACCTCCAGTTCCTCCCAAGCTGATGAGAATTTAATCATTTGTATTCAATTCCTTCTTCTCTTCCTTTTTCCTCACCTCTCCTCTTGGGTTTTCATCTCATGTCTCCGTTTTCTTTCTTGAACATTACCTCTGAGCGTTTATTAGAGTTTACTAAAGTTTATTATTATTATTATTGAAACAAAAGCACAGTATGTCAGAGCAAACCCACCCCCATCCCTCATGTTGTGCACAATTACAAGTGGTTATGTTTGGGAAACAAGGAGAGAGAACACTTTGCAGGCAACAATAGTACCCAAACATAATAGCAGATTCAGATCAACTCCTGGACCTTCCTTTGGGGATCCCTGGTATAAGATATTTACAAAACATAAATGAATTCCCTGTTTAAACTTGAGTCCCATCTCCAAGATATTTCATTATGAACACATCAAAATACAGGTATTCCAAAATGGGGCAAAAAACGGGCATTCCAAAATGGTCCCACACATTTCAGATAAGGAACACTCAACCTGTTAATTCAAGTATGTTCAAAGGAAAACCTCCTTTGAACAAATTTTGTCAAGAAAACCCTGTAAAAGGTTCATCTTAAGGTTGCCGTAAGCTGAAAATGGCTCGAAGGCACTCCGCAACAAAGATCATTTATAAGGCTACGACTTGCATTTAGAAAACTGTTGGCTGCCATTGTAAGTAAATGAAGACAAAGCACCATTTTTAAGCAAGGAAAAATGAAATAAAAAGAAGACAAGTGATTCAGGAAAGCCATTATTTATTTGTTTCAAATAACCAGGGACTACCTAGCCCCAGGCAACAATCAAAATTGCTTTTTTTCATTACATATCTCACAAGACACCACACAATCATATGGAGCTAGTTTTTCTTCTTCTCTCAACCTTTGAAGCCTGAGGTTAGTTATCCACTGTGTGCAAAATCAGAAGTGGGGACAAGGGTGGGGGGAGGATGAGAGGAAGGCAGAGAAGAGTTGGCCTGAATGAGTGCAACAGGTCCAGGAAACTAGGGGTTGGGGAAGGCAGGATCACCCAACTTCTTTCAACGGATAGAAACAAAGAAAGTAGTAGATCCTAGTTATCTGCACCACTAACATTAGAACTAACAAAAGGCACAGCATTAGAGGTGCTTAGAAAACACAGCACCAGAGGCAAATCAGAGCGCGCACACACAGAGAGAAGTGGAAACAAATCTTAAGGCACAGCAGGGAAGGAATTGAGCTTTGGCTACGGCCTCTCTCCTAATACAAGGGATCCAGATTCACTGGTTGTGATATTCAGGTGCTGCATTCCCCCTGTTCTTCAGTGTTCTTTCGGCACAATGGATCACATCACAATTGCAAGGAAATCCCGCAGTGGATGCAGCCATCTCATCTCTGGAAAGAGAAGCACACAAACTTAGCAATAGAAAATAGAAATAGGTCCATATGCAATAGACCTAAAAGAAAATTGGTTGAAAGTGGCACATAGGTGGTACACGACCCCTCAAAAATTAAGTAATTCCTATAAAAATATAAATATAAAATGTTGGAAGTGTGGAAGGATGGAAGGTTCTTACTTCCACATGTGGTGGTCGTGTCCAAGAGCGAAATTATACTGGAAAAAAAATCCACGAAGAGGTACAGGAAATATTACATATAAGAATCCCATTTAAACCAGAGATATTTTTATTAGGCGTAATAGACACAAAGATAGACAAAAATACAGATAAACTTCTTTTCTTACTGAATACAGCAGCAAGAATTTGCTACGCAAAACTTTGGAAGAAAGAAGACACTCCAGAAATTAAGGACTGGACAGAAAAAATATTGGACATTAGAAATATGGACAGATTAACATATCTGATTTCAAAAAATAAAGGAACCCCAATAAAAATAAAGGAACCCCTAAACGGTTCTGGCCCAAGTTACCTATCCGAACGCATCTCCGCCTATGAACCCACCAGGACTTATTGATGTGTAAGATCTTCTGGGGAGGCCCTGCTCTCGATCCCGCCTGCTTCACAGGCATGTTTGGCGGGGACGAGGGACAGGGCCTTTTCAGCGGTGGCCCCTCGGCTGTGGAACGCCCTTCCCATGGACATTAGAACAGCCCCCTCGTTAATGGTGTTTCGAAGAAAACTGAAAACCTGGCTATTTGAACAGGCGTTCGGATAAGTAGTGCAATGAATATAGGAAAACGGAATTACGGATGACGAGTTGGATCATGATTCTAGTTACGAGATGCTAATGTGTTGTTTATTGATGTGTAATTACTTAGTATACTATGGTGTTAATTGTTTTAAATTGTTTGTATGTTGTTAGCATTGAATTTTTGCTCCTGTTGTTAACCGCGTTGAGTCGCCTACGGGCTGAGAAACTGCGGTATACAAATAAAGTAAATAAATAAATAAATGAAACTGATTGGACAAATGTGACAAATTATCTAAACCAAAGAAATAGAAACACAGCAACATAAGTAGAAGAGAAAATAGAAAAGAAAATATAGATGGAAGAAAGAAAAGGAAAACCCACTTGGAAGATACTTGGAAGTCAATGAGGGAGACATACACCATCCGTCTCCACTGTTTTCTTTTTTTTAAAATTTTTCACTATCCCTATATTCTATCTTATTCTTTTTTTCTCTTTTTTTCTTTTTCCTCCTCTTTCTCTCTCTTTCTCTATTTTCCTTTTCTTCTTCTTTCTCTTTTCTTTTCTTTCTCTTCTCCCTCACGTTATTTTATTTTATTATATTATTATTATAGTTTATCAACTCTTTCACATTATGTGTCACAAAAGAAAACTTTCAATAAAGATTATATATATATATACACACATACACACACACACACACACACACATATATAAAAAATAGAAATAAAAGGTCCTCAGGTGACTGCATTTCCTTACGCTATTTAGCATTTATACAGCATTTTAACTGTGTAGTCAGAACTATATATATTGGCTAGCACTGTTTTCTCCATATTGCAGGGCTGAAGCTTATATTTGCCTAATGAGTGTAAGAAGGTTATATTTACCTTCATATTCACACTTTTGAACAGTAGTTCTCAACCTGTGGGTCCCCGGATGTTTTGGCCTTCAACCCCCAGAAATCCTAACAGCTAGTAAACAGGTTGGGATTTCTGGGAGTTGTAGGCCAAAACACCTGGGGACCCACAGGCTGAGAATCATTGCTTTTGAGGATGGCATGTGTGATGAATTCCCTACCTGTTAGGCTAGGTAAAGCCTAGGAAAGTAGGCCCAGGAAGTTTGGCAGCCATTTTGGAAAGGGTGCCGGGGGCATCTATTTTAAATCTCATTTCCCGAAGGGGGCGTGCTTAGGAGCAGCTTGGAGGAAATGAGAGGAGTTAGTGATTGGCTGGGAGAGAATGGGCGGAGCTTAACTAAGAAAAGGAAAAAAAGTTGACTTTAAGGGTGTGTTTTAAAACCCTGTCAGCTCAGATTGAGTCTGGATGTCAAAGAAGAAAGAGTTAGGAGTTTGGAGAGGAAAATAGAATAGTGAAAGAGGCCTGAAATTGGTCAGTTAGCTAGCAGAGATAGCTAGTGAGAAGATTTTACAGCTATTAGGGAAGATAGCTGGTGGAGTGTAGGGATAGATCCAGGAAAGGACTATCTGTAGTGGAGTTTAGAATTACTTTCAGAGAAGAAATCCTGTCAATAATTTCTGGAGGAATATTAGAGTGTTATGTGCAACTAAGTTTGAACTGCTTAAAGAAACCACACACTTTTAAGTCAGTACTTCAGTACAGCTAAGCTTAATGCCTGTTTTGTTCAAGTTCTCTTAAATAAACATCATTGTTTTATTGTTCACAACATCTGTCTCATGTGTGCCTCTGTGGGTGACGTTTTAAAAACAGTTTCCTGCAGCAATCAAAAGTCTAATGGTGGCAGCGTATATTTTAAAAGAGTAATCTTTTCAGTTTTACCTCAGAACACAACCCTGAGTGCTAATCCAGCACACTCTTGCCCAAGATACTTCAAGTAAGCCAAGGGCTTAACATTGCTTTTAAGTTTGATGGTGGCCAGAGTTCTTTCAAAAGGTTTTTCAGCCAGAAGAAGTTTGTTCCAGCTTATTACAGCTTCTGCTTTTGATTTTTAATTAGAAAATCCACATTCAATTAACAAGTGGTGGTGCAGCTGCTGGGATTTATTATTTAAATAGTCCCTCAATAATTATACTTGGTGTCAGCGGTTGGGATTTATATTGCCCAAATAGCCTCTATCATAACTGTTTGTCAGTGGTTGGGATTTCTGCATAAATAATCCCCTATCATTTATAGCATGCATTATATGACTGGCTGTTTTTCTCAAAAGTCATCCTGGAACTTTTACTTCTCTTTTCTCGCTCCCAATTTTTCCCTCCAGTCTTCTGTATCCTAAATAGTTACTACTCCTTCCTTCACTCATGGCTTGTGACTATTCCTCTCTGACGCAAAATATGAAAAAAACAGCCATTGTTGATATTGGCTTGGGTCAAAGATGGGAAAATATAGAAGGCATCTGAGAAATGCCAGTGGGATTTACTGGAGTTACTTCAAAAGGAGAGCTGGAGGCTGGGGAAAGCAACCCCAGCCCTTTAACACTACAAAATAAAGTGCTCTGATTCCACTTCAGCTGCCATGGCTTCATCCTATGGAATCCTGGGTGTTGTAGTTTTGGGAGCTTTTCTTAACGAGAAGTCTAAATGCTTCTCCCAAGACTGCAGATCCGAGGATTCTATAGGATATTGCCATGGCAGTTAAACTGGAATCGTAGTTTAACGTAGTTTGCCCAGAAAGAATCACCTTTTGTGTGTCTAGTGAAAGGAAGAAGTAAAATGTATCTGGTCCCACTGCACCACCATAATGTAGTAGCAAAATGTAGTTTGTTCTTAACATTGGTGCAAATTTAACTGCCCTTAACATAAACACTGGCCCCAGTCAGCTGTACTGCGCAGGCGCAGAGATACCATATGTGCATATTCACAGTTGACTACAAGAGGAAACAAATGCATGTGGGCCTGTACGACCCTCCTCATTACCACAGAGACAACTGCGCAATGTTACAACTGTACCAGACGTATGATTTTGATACCTCCTGTTTCCCCCTTTCCACAACCCAATGTCTCCCATTTTTCTTACCGCACTGCCCTTGGCTGGTCTGAGAGCCCTTCGACTGATTCGGGATCCTTCCATCGGACTCTCAAGGGATTCCAGCCGCTGCGTGAGTGCTAGTTTCTGCTGGATGGCCATGCGCAATAGAGAGCTCAGAGTCTTCTTCTCATCCTCGGCAGCTGCTAGCTGCCGCTGCATTTCATCTAGCTGGCTCACATACTGATCACACCTGGGGACAGAAAGGATGCTGATGGATTCCACTTCACGACAAACAAAGAACTGTCACTCGGATCCCTTGATAGGTCAGTGCCATGCGAATGTCACAGGTCCTTTCATGTGTCGGAAACAGCTCAAAATGTCCTGTTTGGCACGGATCTCTTAATTTATTTATGTATATAATAAAAGTGTTTGTATGCTGAGGGAGGACGGTGTATGTGGCAGCTTTCTGACTGGTTGCCACTTTCACAGGGCACTATGACTAGTACGGGTGACGGATCTGGACCAAACTTGGCACACATAACCCCCGTTACCCCCTTTACGTCCTGGTGAGGTTTGGGGGAGGACAGAAAAAGGATGATGGGATCTGTAGTACTTTCAAACCCATCGATTCGCACAGACCACTGTGGCCCCCAACAAAGTCTGATAAAGATTAAACTTGGCACACAGAGCCCCAAGACGCACTCTACATTCTACTGCTGGTTGGAGGAGGGTGGGCCATGGATGATAGGACTTGCAGTACCTCCACTCGCTTCCCAAGACTGCTGTGACACTCATCCAATGACTGACCAAACTTGGCACACTCTACATCCTGGTGCGAATTGGAGGACAGACCATGGATGATGGGACTTGAAGTACCTTCACTCACTTCCTGAGACCGCTGCGAACCTCATCCAATAACTGATCAAAACCCAACTTGGCACACAGAGCCCCCATGACCCACTCTCCATCCTGGTGCAGTTTGGAGGAGGATGGACCACAGTTGATGGGACTCGCAGTATCTTCACTAACTTCCCGAGACCACTGCGAGCTATATAAATAACTGATAAAGACCAACCTTGATACACAATTCCTTTCTCAAATAACCCGCCAGGTCCCCAAGCTAGTACTTTAAATAAAACAGAGATGCCAGCACGATGACAAAGGGAAGCTTCTAGTTCTTGGTATTGCAAAGGCATATTTGAAGGTATATATACTAAATAATGGCGCTCCATGCAGTCATGCCGGCCACATGACCTTGGAGGTGTCTACGGACAACGCTGGCTCTTCGGCTTAGAAATGGAGATGAGCACCACACCCCAGAGTCAGACATGACTGGACTTAATGTCAGGGAACAACCTTTACCTTTACCTTATACTAAATAACAAATATAGCAGAATAGGATTTTCAGGGAAAGAACCCTACTATTACGAAGAGCTTGCTCAATGTTCATAGCATTATGCATACACACACACACACACACACACACACACACATTTAGATTGCATAGTACATGGCAATCCCTAAATATTATTATCCATGTGTCTTTGGATAGCAATTAAGTCCATGTCCAGTTAACAAAGTTACAGTTCAACAGAGCTGGAGGAAGAAGGCTACTCAACTACAACAGGGAGAGCTTTGTAAACCTTGGCAAAGTTCTCCTTAAACAGGCTCATATGAGACCTGCATCACCATTTTTTCAGTGTCAGACTAAACACTTGCTCAATTTCTAAAGACCCTGCTGCATCAAAAAGAACAAGAAGTCTCATGGCACCTAAGACTAACAATTCTATTATACTATGAGATTACATAGACTACAGACTACTTCATCAGGCATAAAGGATGTAGTGACATAATACATCAAAAAACTGGGTTATCATATATGAGATTGATACATACGTAACATGGGCTGTAGCCCATGATGACTCATGTTGCAATTCGGGTGCAAATCTATAAAAGGTTGCAGAACACGTTTCTATTTCCTGCTTGTGCACCATATTTAAATGCTGTCTTTTACCACCTGTATTATTATTAATTTATTATATGTACAGTACAGCCCCCTATATCCTTGAGGGACACATTTCTAAAATTACCATGGACAATAATACATTCTATTAACATAAACAACCAGTGGCTTAAGCCTTTGTGCTGGCAGGACTGCTGACCGAAAGGTTAGTGGTTCGAATCTGAGGAGCGGGGTGAGCTCCCGTCTGTCAGCTCCAGCTTCTCATGCAGAGACAGAAGAGAAAAACTCCCACAGGATGGTAAAATATCTGGGTATCCCCTGGGCAACGCCCTTGCAGATGGCTAATTCTCTTACACCAGAAGCGACTTGCAGTTTCTCAAGTCGCTCCTGATATGAAAAACAAAAAAACAAAAACATAAATATAAACAACCTCCACCAGAGGTACTACAGAGTTGCCCTGGAGGACCTTTGGAAAATCCTGGAGAGCTATACTCTTTGCTACATTCTCCAGGGCAACTATATGGTAACTATGAAACTGCAAGAGCTGATTCCATGGATATGGGTAAGATACTGTATATTGTTGTACTCCGCCTTGTAATCTAAATAAAGTAGGGTATAATTTTTTTTAATGCAATAATAAGTATTAAGTCCTCCTAACCTAACCTGACACCAGCGGTTCTGTGATGCTGATAGCTGCGAGACTACCAGAAGGAGACCTGGTTCAAGTACCATTCTTCCCCAACACTGATTTATCACTTGCTTCCGCACTTGCCCTCATTAATTCTCTCAATACACACACACACACACACACTCTTCACCTGCTGGCAAACATGGCACGTAAGGAACAGAAAGTAGCAGCATCCTCCTTTAGCGCTTTGAGCTCATGACGCAACTTGACCATAGTCTCCGACACCAAAATCTTCTCGCCTTCATATTGGCCTTTGAGATTGGAGATGGCAGCCTCCGCCGTCTGTAAGAGAAGGACATTAAGACTCAACCAACACATACATTCCTCCTACTTACATAAAGCACAATGTTAAGAAACATTAGGAAAAGTGGACATGCATCCATACATACACACACACTCTCCCTCTACTATATGCACATGTTCCAGATCACTCTGACAGTTAGCTGCGGGATTATGGGACTGAAGTCCAACACATCTAGAAGATACCAGGGTGAGGTGGGCTGTATTCAAAATGGAGCTATAACCACCAGCTGATCAACAACAAGAGAACCTTAAGAGGCTGTTTCAAGTTGTAGCTCAGCAACCACAACCACTTCATCATGGAACCTCATGTCCCCTCCATTCAAAGATGAGATGCATTTGCCTCCTCAAGAATTTATTTATTTATTTATTTATTTATTTACCTTACTTATATACCGCTGTTCTCAGCCCGAAGGCGACTCACAGCGGTTCACAACAAATAAGAACAGCAAAAATTCAGTGCTACAGTATAAAAACAGTTAACAACCTAACACATTACACAATTAATAAACAATTACTACAATACCCATTCACTGTCGTCTCATCATCAAAAACATGTTCCAGATTCGTCATCCATTGTTCCATTCCAGTGTTCATTAACCAATCATTGCACTAAATATTCGAACGCCTGCTCAAACAGCCAGGTCTTCACTTTTTTGCGGAATACCATTAGAGATGGTGCTAGTCTAATGTCCGTAGGAAGGGCGTTCCACAGCCGAGGAGCCACCACCGAGAAGGCCCTATCTCTCGTCCCCACCAGCCGAGCTTGAGAAGCAGGCGGGATCGAGAGCAGGGTCTCCCCGGAAGATCTCAAAGTCCTGGTGGGTTCATAGGCAGAGATGCGGTCGGATAGGTAGCTTGGGCCGGAACCGTTTAGGGCTTTAAAGGCCAACGCAGCACTTTGAATTCATCCCGGTAGCAGATCGGTAGCCAGTGGAGTTGGCGCAACAGGGGGTTGTATGCTCCCTGCGCTCCGCTCCTGTTAGAATAATGGCTGCCGAGCGTTGGACTAGTTGGAGCTTCCGAGCTGTCTTCAAAGGCAACCCCATATTATTGTATTGTTTTTTGTTTATTGCTTTTCTGTTTTATTGATGTGTGTGTGTGTGTGTGTTTTTTTTTTTTTTTTTTTTTTTTTTTTTTTTTTTTTTTTTTTTTTTTTTTTTGTTTTTTTGTTTTTTTTTTTTTTTGTAGCGTTGGACTAGTTGGAGTTTCCGAGCTGTCTTCAAAGGCAACCCCACGTAGAGAGCGTTGCAGTAGTCTAAACGGGATGTAACCAGAGCGTGGACTACCGTGGCCAAGTCAGACTTCCCAAGGTACGGGCGCAGCTGGCACACAAGCTTTAGCTGTGCAAATGCTCCCCTGGTCACCGCCGAAACCTGGGGTTCCAGGCTCAGCGATGAGTCCAGGGTCACACCCAAGCTGCGAACCTGTGTCTTCAGGGGGAGTGCGGCCCCATCCAACACAGGCTGTAACCCTATGCCCTGTTCGGCCTTGCAACTGACCAGGAGTACCTCTGTCTTGTCTGGATTCAATTTCAATTTGTTCGCCCTCATCCAAAACATTGGTGCTAGAAGGTTTTGATTTACGTAAAGGGTGGCATGCATATTGTGGCATGGGAGGACAAAATTAGAAAAAAAAATTGGCAACCACTTTATCCGATCCTCATTAATGAAGATATGGGAAAAATATAAAGGACACCTCTACACTAAACTCCTATGTGGATATCACCACTGGAGGCAAATCGAAGAAGATTATTGGGTTGGATTGAATGGCCAAAATATAAGGATATATTAGTCAAAAGAAACGATACATACGAAATAAAAACACAAGAATGTTTAAGAATGTTTCCTGGGTTCAATATAGGCAGATTAAGGAATACTTTAATGCAGATAAAAAAATGGTTTTTCAGAGCGGAAAGAATTTTGGGATACGGTTATGACTTTGGAAAAGAAAATAATAACTAAAATTTATGAGAAACTTCTTGGATGGGCGACAGAAACAGAAGAGATTAAAAATTCTATGATAAAATGCGCAAGAAATATTGGCCAACCAATTAATTTAAGGGAATGGGAACAAATTTGGAAAAAAACATCTAAAGTATACATATGCCACCGATCTGAAGGAAAATTGGTTAAAAATGCTATATAGATGGTATATGACACCTAAAAAAATTAGGGATGATGTATAAAAATATGGACAATAAGTGTTGGAAATGTAAAGTACATGAAGGCTCATATTACCATATATGGTGGGCCTGTGAAAGAACAAAAAAATACTGGAAAATGGTACATAAAAAGTGTAAAAAAAATCTTTAAATTGCAATGGGTGGACAAAGCAATGGAAATAAAGGACATGGATGAACTGACATTCTTATTAAGGCAAAATAATGGTCAAGGTGTAAAAAGGACAGATTGGACAACCTTTGATGAATATATAAAAAACGAGGACAACAATTAAGTTTGTAACTCTTTACTTGAGGGGAAAACAGTTATCCTAGGAATGATCTAAAGACAACTTTTTATTGTTTCGAGGTTGTTAGTAAGAAGAACGGAAGTCAACACAATTAATTTTTTTTCTTTCTTTTTTAGGTCCTTTTAGGATCATTTTTTCGTAGGGTTTTTTCCCCTTTTTTTCTCTCTCTCCTTATTTCCCACTTTTCTAATAATAAAATTGTTCCCAATCCTTCGATGTATTCTATAATTTTCCTTTTTTAAAAAATTTCAAATTTTAGGGTTTTATTAGTTGTTTTTTGTTTGTTTTGTTTTGTTTTGTTTAGTAATTCTCGTTTCCTCATTCTACTCTGCTCTTATTTTTTGGAACATCTTTTCTTAAGAAAAATTATTTTAAAAAAAAAAAAAAGAATTGCACTCTCGTGATTGCTTCAGCCACTACAGAGATGGGGACTGTAGAGTTTTCAAGATGTTCTTGGATAGTCTGCAACTCCCAGCTATCTTAGCCACCAAAGGCAATGTGAGGAATACTGGGAGTTGCCACTCAACATCTCAAGGGCCACCCAATTCCTACCCCAGAACTTGAATGTTAGGCAGCAGAAGATGATGGTCCAACACCAACCAAGCCTCATTAGGCCACCAAAGGCTATATTTTGAGTACTGAACTATAAGGCCAGATCCAAACGAGTGAATTCCTTTTGCTTTTCCTTCTAAGCCCAGAATGACCAAGATCTGTGCCCTGGGAGCTACCCAGAAGAAAAAGTGAACTACTGCTAATGGTACAATATATGAGAACAGAGATGCATAGATCCAAGCAAGGAGAGTGCAAATAGGAAACAGGGCACTGACAAGCAGCTGTTTAACCATTAAAATAGAATACATGGGGCAGGGGAATGTGTTTAAGAATGTGTTGCATCATATTCCAGGGCTATGTAGATGATGTGGTGTAGCTCTGCTTCCTGTGAACTCAATTCAAAGCTGCCCTAGTCATATTTATACTTTTCAGAGAATCCGAATCTCTGGAAGGAGCTCTGAACTAGGCTTCCCACCCCACGTGCCTGGTACTGACCTGTTTGTTGGCTTTGAGCACTGTGCGCAGGGTGGCAATCTGTTCACGCTTGGTACTCAGCAATGACTTCAGCTTCAGCACCTCCTCCACCAGGACCTCCTTGTCACGCTCCAGCTCAGCCCTATGGCCCATGGGGCTCTGCTGGTGAGCCAGGGACAATGCCACCTGCAGGTGCCCCAGCTGCTCTCGTAGCACCACTGTCAGGTTGGCCACATTGAGAGGCTCCAACCCGCAGGGGGAACCAGGGCTGCTGCTGCTAGCAGGTGACTGGTCCCCGCTGCTACTTGTCTCCATTTCCGTTAACAGAGACTTTCTGGATGACCTCCTCCTACACAAATTCCAAGCTCCGCGGCCCTCCCGGTAATAGTCCAACACCACACGACGAGGGGTTATGCTATGGCAGGCACAGACATGATGGTACAGTGTAGCCATTTCCTCAGAGAAACCCAGGAGCTCCTCCTGAGCCTGAGCCAACCGCGACTGGCACTCTCGAGTCATCCTTCTGGCCACTCGCAACTCTGTTTCCAGTTGGATGGCTGCTGCCCTCTCCTGCCGGACCGCCAATTGGGCCTTCTCCAGCTCCTCATGGCACTGCTCCATCTCACTGAGGGACATGCTGATCCCTCCACCATCATGAGGACCAGTATTCAGAGACTGGACCTCATGGCTCTGGTCCAGGTGCTGATGGGCCAAAGTCTCCTTGGTGTTGGCCAGCTCCTTCTTGAGGTCCTGCAGGTCTGAAGCTAGTGAGGCCTTCTCATTTTCTGCCTGAAAGCAAAAAGGAAGTGGATGATTTCAGGGTTCAGCTATGTAAGAGCAAGCCATGGAAGATCTAGTCATTGTTTAAGCCAGAGTCCTCAAACTAAGGGCAGAGTCCTCAAACTAAGGTAATTTACCCAGCCTCACTCAAGGTCAACCTAAGTCTGAAATGACTTGAAAGCACACCACAACAACAGCCAAAAGCAGGCCCACACTTCCCATTGAAATACTAATAAGTTTATACTTGTTAAAATCGTTCTTCATTTTAATTATTGTATTGTTTTAAGTGTTTTTGCACTACAAATAAAATATGTGCAGTGTGCATACATTCATGCTTTTTTCAAATTATAATCCAGCCCTCCAACAGTTTGAAGGACTATGACCTGACATTCTTATTAAGACAAAGTAATGGTCAAGGTGTAAAAAGGACGGATTGGACAACCTTCTGTTTAAAAAGTTTGAGGACCCCTGGTTTATACTCCAGATTGGAGAAGATTAATAGTTACTTCGAGATTGTGTGTGCATATCCAATTTTGTATGTTGCAGGAATAAGGAATGTATGGCCATCCTGGTTAGGGTTTAATGGGATCTACAATTCATCAGCATCTAGAGAGGTACATGTTGTGCATCTCTGATCCATAAGATGAACAGAACCTTAATACCAAAGCATTTTATTACATTTATGTTGCCATTCTCCAACAAAAAAGTACACTAAGTAGCTAATATTATCGCTTCAACAACAAAACTATGAATATATTTATGCCTGTTGTTAACATCCATCAAGTCAACTTTGACTTATGGCGACCCTACGAATGAGAGATCTCCCTCTCTTCAACAGCTCTGCTCAGGGTCTTTCAGACTCAGAACCATGGCTTTCTTGGTTGAGTCAATCTATGACCCAGTCTTTCATTTTTCCTTCTACCTTATCAAGCATTATTGTCTTTTCCAATGAGTAAGATTACCTTTTAGAAATTTCTTTATCCCACACAATGAAAGGACTTGAGTTCCTGCAATGTTGGTCCTCCAGACATTGTGGAACTGTAACACAATGTAACTTCCAACCGCCCCAAACAGCACAGTCAGCAGTGAGGAATAATGGAAGGATTCCTAACATAGAAACTAGTACTTTGTTCTGGAGTAGCTTGCAAGAACTGTTGTAATGTGCAAGCACCCTGAGTTGAGTAACAGAGCCCTGACTTTGTAGACCATACCACAGAGTTTTGTGAGACCACTTGCTCTATGCCTGTGAGACGTGGACTGTCTACAGACGTCACATGCAACTCCTGGAACGATTCCATCAGTGCTGCCTCCGGAAATCCTGCAAATCTCTTGGAAGAAGCAAAGACCACCAGCATTGAAACGATGGTCCTCCGCCATCAACTCCATTGGACAGGCCACATTGTCCGGATGCCCGACCACCTTCTCCCAAAGCAGTTGCTCTACTCCGAACTCAAGAACGGAAAACGGAATGTTGGTGGACAGGAAAAGAGATTTAAAGATGGGCTCAAAGCCAACCTTAAAAACTCTGGCATAGACACTGAGAACTGGGAAGCCCTGGCCCTTGACCGCTCCAGCTGGAGGCCAGCTGTGACCAGCAGTGCTGCAGAATTTGAAGAGGCACGAATGGAGGGCGAAAGGGAGAAGCGTGCCAAGAGTAAGGCGCATCAAGCCAACCCCGACCGAGACCGCCTTCCACCTGGAAACCAATGCCCTCACTGCGGAAGAAGATGAAGAGCAAAAATAGGGCTCCACAGACACATACGGACCCACAAGAACACCAGAAGACAATCATCCTCAGAAAACAAGGGATCCCCTAAGTAAGTAAGTAAAGGTTCCGTTCTTACACTCTGTCACCTTTTCAGGGACCAAAAGCATGGGCTCTCTTCACTGTGCCTGCCACTACCAGGTGCCAAGTTTCCACCTGGGCTTTCAAAAGTCAGCTGTTAAACACACACACACAAAGCTTTCTCAGTTTTGATTCTCAGCCAGAGATTTGCTTTTGCCAGGGAACAAGAGCAACCAGGCTGCAGCCAGCAATCTGAAAGTGGATATTTCAGCAGGCACCATGATGACTGGATGGCGAGCTTAGTGGACTCTCTAGTAATCTGAAAGTGTGGGTAAACTGGAAATAGTGGAGAGAGGAGATAGTGGGGAACCCATTCTATACAGATGAAGATTTCAACTGGGTTCTTCTATAGGTTTCAAGGGCAGCATAGTCCCCAAACCTGTTCCTCCAACAGAACTGGCTTGGCCAAAGGTGGAACTAATCTGTTCGGCAGAGAAGCAGCTGGGTGGGGGGTTGGGGTGAGTGGAGCAGGGTCAGGGCAGAGCAAAGCATGACGCCAGCTGAGCAGGATGTGCGGCTGGCTGCTCAGAATAACTCGAATGGCTTCCTGTCATTAGCCCTGAAGGTGACGGAGTCCCTCCCAGTCCAAACTGAAGTAATGGCACATGCATACCCCCTGACCCTCTGCCCCACCCCATGCCTCAAGAGAAGAGCCATGCCTGCACAGGCACGAGATACCCAGGAGCAGCTCCTTGAGCAACCCAGCAACTCACCACCAGAATAGCTCTTTGGGCACAGTGTGGGAACCAATAGCATCAAAGCAAGACTCCGATCTCTGGCTCCCATGGCTTTTCTTAGCTGTCCCTATCTCCAGTCCCCTATTCCAAAGCTAATTCTGTTATATTTTAAGCTTTGCAAACTAGAATCCACTTTTAGACTTCACAGGACTACATCCCACTTTTAGTTTGTCATCTGCTTGTTAATGTCTGCAATTTTCTGTCTATGACACAAGATATACATGGTGAGCAGATCTTGAACTACACTTGACCTCTATCCATGGTGGCCTAGTGCAAATTAGATTCTAGCAACATATAGAAGGCTATAGGTTCCCTTCTACCTGCTGTAGGTTGTTTTATCTTCTCCTAGATCAGTGGTTCTCAACCTTCTTAATGCCGTGACCCCTTAATACGGTTCCTCATGTTGTGGTGACCCCCAACCATACAATTATTTTTATTGCTATTCCATAACTGTAATTTTGCTACTGTTATGAAATGTAATGTAAATACTCAAAAACTCAAAAAATTACAACAGCAAAACAACAGAGAGTAAACAATCAGGCACATCAAATCACTTCTCAAAGAAAGATTCCCCCAGGCACTTCCAAGCCATTAAATGCTAATCAAGGTGGTCAGTTGAAACAATCACACCTAGCTCCAGCAGACAAAAGTCCTTTGTCCCACCCTGGTCTTTCCACAGATATATAAACTCATTTTCCTACTTCCAACAAACCTCACTACCTCTGAGGATGCTTGCCATAGATGCAGGCGAAACGTCAGGAGAAAATGCCTCTAGAACATGGCCATATAGCCCGGAAAACTTACAACAACTCAGTGATTCCGGCCATGAAAGCCTTCGACAATACATGTAATGTAAATATCTGACTTGCAGGATGTATTTTCATTCACTGGACCAAATTTGGCAAAAATGCCCGATATACCCAAATTTGAATACTGGTGGGGTTGGGGGGGGATTGATTTTGTCATTTGGGAGTTGTAGTCGCTGGGATTTATAGTTAACCTACAATCAAAGGGCATTTTGAACCTCATCAACAATAGAATAGGGCCAAACTTCCCACATAGAACCCACATGACCAACAGAAAATACTGTGTTTTCTGATGGTCCTTGGTGACCCCTGACACCCCCGCAAGACCCCCCCCCAGGGGTCCCGACCCCCCAGGTTGAGAAACACTGTCCTAGATTGAATTCTCAACACTGTCAAGAAAAGGAAAAACAAGGATACACCAGTTCAATCAAGGCCAATCATTTGGCACTAGCAAAGCAAGAATGCTACTGATTTGCTAATTATCTCCTTTCAGGGCACAACCTCTTCCTGTTGACTAGGACCCTTCCCCAATCAAAGGGACCACCTTACTTTACCTGTAACAACTGCTGCTGCAATTTGTGAATTTCCGCCAAGCTAAGTTCACTAAAGAGGTCGGCCACAAGACCAGGAGCAGGCCGGATGCTTTGGGGTGTGGAAGCCATGCCCCCTACACTGCTGCCATTGGCAAAGCCACTGTCTTGCTCTTCACACTCCACATGACTGTGGTTGAGCTCCTCCAGGTTGGCCTGCAAGCTGGTTAGTGAGTCACGACGTCCTCCTGCATAGATGGCAAGCTCCCGCCGCAGCTCCTGCTTCTGCTCCCGCTCCGCCTGCAGAGCCTCTAGTGCCTCCTGAAGCTGATGCTCTGCCAGGTCCCTGAGACGACCCAATTCCAGCAGCTGGGTCCCAGCCAACACCAGTTCTTCCTCTCGGCAGCTCAATGCGCGCTTGACACCTTCAAACTCCACCTTGAAATGAGACAGTAGAGACAGGTTGGCTTCTTTTCTCAAACCTTGCCTCCCAGTATTCCACTGTAAGCTTCAAGCATAACATGAAGCACACACCATCTCACTGATTATGCATCCCTTCTTCACCCAAAAACTTGCAAAAACCTCTAATTTTCTTTAAATGTTGCTGCTCCACATTTGTTTTTGTCTGTTCAAAAATGTTGAACAGACATCTATAATAGCCTTAGAGCTGTAGAAGATGGGCCACAATCCTGGATGTCTACTACAGTGAAGTAAATACAAACAGTAGAAAGAAAAGGTCTATGGCATGGACAAGGCATTCAATTGTGCTGGAGCAGCAGGCTCCTTCAAAATGCACAGCCTTTTCCTTCACCACTTTCACTAGCAGTGGTGTTTCCCTCCTTCCCTCCATAACTATTGTAAACAAATTTATAAAATGGTTAAGTACATAATAGACTGTCAGGATAGCACAATGCAAAAAAGGATTCTGGCTTGGTTGCCTTAAGAGCCACTGCCAGGTCCATTTTTAGCACTGATAGGATATTTTAGCTCAATGATCTTAATAGTCATGACCAAATGTGGGTTGCTGCAGCCGTACTTGAGACTGAAATAGTTTGTTATTTTATAGAGAGTTGACCATTTTTGTCTTGCACATTTTTATTCTGTGGTGTACTCTGACAAAAGAGATGTGCCCACTCATTAATTCCAAGGTATTCTAGTCTTGTACTTATTATTATTATATTATTATTATTAACTTTATTTGTACCCCGCTAGCATCTCCCGAAGGACTCGATGTGGCTTACATAGGCCAAGGCCTCAATAAAAACATAGCATAACAAAATACACAACTTAAAGCAAATCGAAGCAATTAAAGCAGTATCAAACAACAAAACAATAAAACAATACACCAAAAACATAAAAAACAGGGCCGGGCCAATGTAATGGGTAAAGGTTAAAAGTGCTGATGTGACAGGTGGTATATCGGATTTTAGGGTAAGTGCAGTGTGCGGGTAATCTTAAACTCTAATAAAGTGCTTCTGGGACATGTTTACTGGAGTATTCTGGAAAGGCACATCGGAACAGCCAGGTTTTCAAGTTCTTCCTAAAGACTGCCAAGGTAGGGGCCTGTCTGATATCTTTAGGGAGGGAGTTCCAGAGTTGGGGGGCTACCACAGAAAAGGCCCTGTCTCGCGTCCCCACCAGACGCGGCTATACAAAGCAGGATCATTGTATACTTAGTAAACTCCTTAGATGTGCAAAATTATTTTAAAATACAGGAAACCCACAATTTAAAGAAACAAAGGCTAAAAAGAACCAAGCGTGTTCTTTGTTCTTCATGTCACTGAAATATTGACAACAGAAACATTAGTTGACAGAGGGAGGTAGATTAGCTTTGAAGAAAACAAATGGTCTGCTTTGGGTCAATGGAATCAAAATACACACCAACCCCACACTCTGAAACAAGCATGCCATAAATCCTCTGAAGTTGAAAATAATAATATAATAATAAACTTTATTTATACCCCGCCACAATTTCCCCAATGGGGACTCGGAGCGGCTTACATGGGGCCAAGCCCGGACAACATATTACAAGAAGATAAAACCAAAGCATAAACCAGGGGTCCTCAAACTAAGGCCTGAGGGCCAGATACGGCCCTCCAAGGCCATTTACCCGGCCCTCGCTCAGGGTCAACCTAAGTTTGAAACGACTTGAAAGCACACAACAACAACAATCCTATCTCATCAGCCAAAAGCAGGCCCACACTTCCCATTGAAATACTAATAAGTTTATATTTGTTAAAATTGTTCTCCATTTTAATTATTGTATTGTTTTTAAGTTTTTTGCACTACAAATAAGATATGTGCAGTGTGCATAGGAATTCATTCATGCTTTTTTCAAATTATAACTCGGCCCTCCAACAGTTTGAGGGACTGTGACCTGGCCCTCTGTTTAAAAAGTTTGAAGACCCCTCCTTTAGAGAAATATCAAGTTTTTAAAAAAATGGGCGGACCACATGTACAGGATAAAATGAATAAAAGACTCTAATGAGATAAAAATAGGAGTAAGTTATTTGCAGGGAACTCATAAAAACACACAGAGTTGTGAAGCTAAACTTCCCATTTGGAGGGCATGTATTCCAGTGGGAAAAGCGTTGAGGGGTGCAATGGTGTCATATTGTGCACCTACTCGTCAGTGTTCAGAAACAATTTTTTCCAGATTAGTGGAAAAACACTTCCTCCAGAAATAATTCATTGCACATGATTCCACCCAGTTTTTTTTCAAACACAAATAAGGCAGCTATGTTCAAATAGAGCAGTGGTTCTCAACCTGTGGGTCCCCAGATGTTTTGACCTTCTACTCCCAGAATTCCAAACAGCTGGCAAACTGGCTAGGATTTCTGGGAGTTGTAGGCCAAAATATCTGGGGACCTACAGGTTGAGAACCACTGAAACAGAGGATGATGTACACCAGGGGTCCACAAACTTTTTAAACAGAGGGCCAGGTCACAGTCCCTCAAACAGTTGGGAGGGCCAGATAATTTGAAAAAAACATGAATTCCTATGTACGCTGCACATATCTTATTTGTGATGTAAAAATCACTTAAAACAATACAATAATTAAAACGAGGAACAATGTTAACAAATATAAACTTATTAGTATTTTAATGTGAAGCGTGGGCCTGTTTTTGGGTGATGAGATAGGATTGTTGTTGTTGTGTGCTTTCAAGTTGTTTCGACTTAGGTTGACCCTGAGCGAGGGCCAGGTAAATGACCTTGTAGGGCCGCATCCAGCCCCCGGGCCTTATTTTGAGGACCCCTGATGTACACTGCAGGGCAAGTATTTGCCATCTCAATTATTCCCTGTTCTCCATGACTGTACCACGTGAGGCAGGGAGGTGGTGTGAATGGCCTCATCCTGTCAGGTAAAGGGCCCACCAGGCAGCTTCCTGCTTATCCAGCATCAGGTGCATGAAAGCATAAAGACTGCTGAGGTTCAATAGGAAGTAGCTCAACTAGTCCTCAAGCTCTGTTCACTTCCCTTTTCTCCTCCTCCTCAAACCACAGCAAGGTTGCCTCAACGACTTAAAATACATCCCAAAAAGGAAAGACAATTCCAGTGCACTTCCTCTACACCACTGCTTCTTAAAACCCTTAATTCTATGTTGGGGTTGTGAAAAAAATTGGCAGCAGTAAAAGTTTTCTGAACACCATGTAGACATTTACACAAATCTCCTAACAACATGTAGTGTTTACAGTGGACTCTGCAGAAAATGCTTCATCTGTACTCCACCAAAAAACAAAAAACAAAACCCAAAACAAAAAAAAAACCAGTCTGTTTGGCAAGTCTTGCAAATAATGGGGTTACAATCAGTAAATGTTATCAGACCCAATGGGGTCACAAGTAGAGAAAGTTTAAGAAGCTTTCACTACACACATAGACCATACAAGAAAGTAGAGGCAGATGAAAATAGAAATGCATCAACATAGCCCAACAAATACATCTGATTATATGAAAAGTTAACATCAGAATGCTGAATCAGGCAGTTTTCACTCCAAATTGCCAAATCACTATCTGTAAATCAGGCAAGTACACATGTGCACAAGCCACACACATACACTGAGAGTCAGTGTCTAATGCCCAATGGGACATGGGATTCAGATACCTGACTGCCCCTGAGTGCCGAGACCTGCTTCTGCAGGGAAATGTTCTCTTCCTCAAGCTCAGCACAGTCCTGCAGTTGACGAAGTTCCCTGGTTTTGGATTGTTTCATCTCTTCCCGCAACTGGGCCTTCTCTGACTCCAAGTTCTGGCATTCCTAGAAAGACAATGGGATTAACAAATTGGGCTCATGGCTTGACCACAAAGATGAACTGGGGAAGGAAACACCACATTTTTTCCTTGAGCAGGAACAAATCCAACCCCAGCAGCAAAATTATTTTAGCTTCTTTCTTTAACAGAGGAAGAAGAAAAAAGAAAACCATGCAAGAAAAGATTGTCCATGGTGTTATCCTTAAGTAGTTTAAGGTCTGATTAAGAAATCTTACTTTTACATTTCCATCTTTGGGAGAAGGCATGCAATGCCTTGAATGAAACCTTTGAGAGAGATCATATGGAGTTTTGGAGTTTGGTGCCACCTATATGCAGATGACACCCAATTCTACTACTCCTTTCCACCTAATGCCAAGGAAGCTATCCTGACCCCAAAACCAGTGCCTGTCATCAGCAATAGACTGGATGAGTGCAAACAAATTGAATCTTAATCCAGACAAGAAAGAGGTGCTCCTGGTCATTCAAAAGGCAGATCAGGGACGAGGGATCCAACCTGTGCTGGATGGAGTTACACTCCCTCTGAAGACATGGGTTCGCGGTTTGGGGGTCCCCCTGCACTCTGCATTGTAATACAATATACTACTACTACTATTAAATGTGTCACGGTGTATTGTTTTATTGTTTCTACTGTTACTGCTTTAATGTTTTTGGTTTGCTTAGGAGTTTTTATTATGTATTTGTTATGCTGTTGTTTTATTGAGGCCTTGGCCTGTGTAAGCCGCATCGAGTCCTTCGGGAGATGTTAGCAGGGTACAAATAAAGTTAATAATAATAATAATAATCATAATATATTTTATATTAAATGTAATATTACTAGTAATACATAAATTACATAATTACATAAATTACATAATTACATACAATGTAATATTACTAATAATATTAATATTAATAATATTAAATGTATTACTAATAATATTACAGTATAATGTTATAGTACAATGTAATATATAATATATAATATTAATATTGTGCTATGGTAATAATATTATATATTGTATTTACTTTTTAATTGTAAGCCACTCTGAGTCCCCTTCGGGGTGAGAAGGGCGGCATATAAATGTTGTAAATAAATAAATAAAATAAATAAGAAAATTCCATGATAGAGTTGCGTTAAGAACCTACTTGAAAGCACACAACAGTAAAAAAAAGTAAAATTTGGATTTCAATGCTGGAGGTTCAGAAGTTCCAAAGCTTTGTAATTTGAGACTCATCACCTTTCTCAAGTCTCGCAAAGTCACAACGAAGCGCTCATTTTCCGTTCCTGTTGTATCAAGCTGGGACCTTAGGTGTTTCACATCCCCCTGGAGTTCCTCAATAGTTTCAGTCAAGCGGGCCTCTTTGAAAGCTGTCTCTCGGAGCAGACATTCCTCTCGACTCTCCCCATCAGCGGCTGCCCGTTTGTGATTGCTATGTGACTCTGCCAGAGCCTGGGATATAGAAGAAGAGACTGAAGGTTATGGCTAGCAGCATAGCCAGGGCAAGGCAAGAAAAGTGGGCAACATGTGGCTCTCAAACTGTCCCATACAGCTTGCTGAATGTTTTTGTATTGAAAACCATACACAATAGCACTGTTTTCCCAAACATAAGTCTTTGTTGTAGCTGGAATATGGTTGAAAATGACAACTAGAAGTGACACAATGTTCTATTTCAGTGGTTCTCAACCTGTGGGTCCCCAGGTGTTTTAGCCTACAACACCCAGAAATCCCAGCCAGTTTACCAGCTGTTAGGATTTCTGAGAGTTGAAGGCCAAAACATCTGGGGACCCACAAGTTGAGAAGCGCTGTCCTATCTGGTGATCCAGAACATGCTACTGTTGCCAACTCCCACCTTGCACAGTTGCCCACTCCCTGGGCTAAGGGAAACCCAGTCTAAAGCACAGCAAGAGAATCATCCCCTCACCTCCTTCATGTGCAATAGCTCTGTGCGCAGCACCTCCAGCTGACTTTCCAGCTCTCCACAACGCTGCTTGAGCTCGCCATTCTCTTCCAATACTGCCAGTCCATATTGTGCCGCCTGTACCTTTTCTTGTGTTGCCTCTTGAAGCTCAGCCACCAGCCGCTCCACCTCTGCTTGCAGCTTCACTGGATCCTGGGCCATGGTGGCTGCTGGCATACTGTCCCTGGTCAAGACTGCTATAGTAGACTGAGAAACAAGGGTGAGCGTCAGGATGAGAGGACCACCACTCAAGGGGTGCTTTACCCATTTGTCAGGCAGCCACCGTAAAGTCACACTGAAGGAGATCCAGCACAGCTTGCTCACATCCACTGATATGTGGGGCATCCTAAAAGTACCACACCACTTGGATAACTAGGCTCAACCTCAACCAACCTACCTAAATCGCCACATCTAATATATAAAGTCACAACCAGGTAGACATAAAAATCATTTGCGGGTTTATCAAACAAAGCATACAAGGCCTGCCTTGAGGTGACCTACTACATACAAGACCCACTTTAGGTGATATTTCTAGCTTACCTTTCCTGCAAGGGATGCTAGGCTTACTTCTTGGCCTCCCTCCCTACCGTGGCTCTCGGTAGACTCCTATGAAGTAAGTTGCCCTTGGGGAGACTGGCCCAAGTTTACTATGTGACTTTCTGACTAAATGGGATTTGTACTCAAGGAGTCCTAGGCTAGCAAATTATCATGCTGTTTCAAAATGTATGTTGTTATTGTGTTCCTTCAAGTTGTTTCTGGCCTATTGTGATCCCAAGGTGAACCTACCACAGTATTTCTTGAAAAGATTTGTTAGATGAAGTTCAGCATTGCATTCCTCTGAAGGTGAGAGGGTGACACTTAAGTGGGTTTCACAGATGAGTGAGGATTCAAACCCTTCCCTCCAGATTTTTTAGCCTAATACTCAAATCACTACACTAGCTCTTTGATTCAAAGTACTGTATACCAAGACAAAAAAGCAGCACTCAGGACATTTGTATATAAATCAGGAAAGACAAAGAGTTCTAGAAGATACAAGCATGGGAACAGTGTTGTCCCCAACAATTTAATCACTCCCACTACCTAAATATAAATGTGCCTTGTTGCAGCTAGGCAAAAAGCTACTGCCCCAAGAAGCATTTGGGAAAATATTGAAGAGTGTAAGCTATTATTTCAATACCCATTTAAAAATAAGGATTTAAAAATAAATGTAACAGGAACTGCCAGATGTATATTTGGACTCTTTAAGACATGATAGCCTTCATTTCACCTAGCACATGCTGGTACCTCATCCTTAATCTGAGCAGCATGAATTAATTGATGCCCAAGGTGCCAAAAGAAAGGGCAATAGTGTGACCATAAAAGTTCAGATTCCTCTTAAATTATATGCAATTAAGATAATGCTCATCCCAGCCACAAATTGTTGTTGTTCATTAGTTCAGTCGTTTCTGACTCTTCGTGAGCTCATGGACCAGCCCACGCCAGAGCTCCCTGTCGGCTGTCACCACCCCCCAGCTCCTTCAAAGTCAATCCAGTCACTTCAAGGATCCCATCCATCCATCTTGCCCTTGGTCGGCCCCTCTTCCTTTTTCCTTCCTTTTCCCCCAGCATCATTGTCTTGTCTAAGCTTTCCTTTCTTCTCATGATGTGGCCAAAGTACTTCATCTTTGCCTCTATTATCCTTCCCTCCAGTGAGCAGTCGAGCTTTATTTCCTGAAGTATGGACTGGTTGGATCTTCTGGCGGTCCAAGGCACTCTCAGAACTTTCCTCCAACACCACAGTTCAAACGCATCTATCTTCCTTCGCTCAGCCTTCCCAATGGTCCAACTCTCACATCCGTAGGTTACTTTGGGGAATACCATTGCTTTAACTATGCGGATCTTCGTTGCCAGTATGATGTTTCTGCTCTTCACTATTTTATTGAGATTGGACATTGCTCTCCTCCCAAGAAGTAAGCATCTCCTGATTTCCTGGCTGCAGTCTGAGTCTGCAGTCATCTTTGCACCTAGAAATACAAAGTATGTCACTGCCTCCACGTTTTCTCCCTCTATTTCCCAGCTGTCAATAATTTTTGTTGCCATAAGCTTGGTTTTTTTATGTTTAGTTGCAACCCAGCTTTTGCACTTTCTTCTTTCATCTTGGTTAGAAGGCTCCTCAGCTCCTCCTTGCTTTCAGCCATCAAAGTGGTTTCATCTGCATTTTGTTATTCGTTCAGTCGTCTCCGACTCTTCGTGACCTCATGGACCAGCCCACGCCAGAGCTCCCTGTCGGCCGTCACCACCCCAGCTCCTTCAAGGTCAAGCCAATCACTTCATTTTATATAATCCATCCATCTTGCCCTTGGTCGGCCCCTCTTCCTTTTGCCTTCCACTTTCCCCAGCATGATTGTCTTCTCTAGGCTTTGCTGTCTCCTCATGATGTGGCCAAAGTACTTCAACTTTGTCTCTAGTATCCTTCCCTCCAGTGGGCAGCCGGGCTTTATTTCCTGGAGGATGGACTGGTTGGATCTTCTCGCAGTCCAAGGCACTCTCAGAACTTTCCTCCAACACCACAGCTCAAAAGCATCGATCTTCCTTCGCTCAGCCTTCCCTAAGGTCCAGCTCTCACATCCGTAGGTTACTACAGGGAATACATGGCTTTGACTATGCGGATCTTTGTTGCCAGTGTGATGTCTCTACTCTTTACTATTTTATCGAGACTGGACATTGCTCTCCTCCCAAGAAGTAAGTGTCTTCTGATTTCCTGGCCACAGTCTGCATCTGCAGTAATCTTTGCACCTAGAAATACAAAGTCTATCATGGCCTCCACATTTTCTCCCTCTATTTCCCAGTTGTCAATCATTCTTGTTGCCATAATCTTGGTTTTTTGATGTTTAGCTGCAACCCAGCTTTTGCGCTTTCTTCTTTCACCTTGATTAGAAGGCTCCTCAGCTCCTCCTCGCTTTCGGCCATCAGAGTGGTGTCATCTGCATATCTGAGGTTGTTAATGTTTCTTCCAGCAATTTTCACCCCAGCTTTGCATTCATCCAGCCCCGCACATCGCATGTTGTGTTCTGCATACAAGTTAAAAAGGTTGGGTGAGAGTATGCAGCCTTGCCGTACGCCTTTCCCAATCTTGAACCAGTCTGTTGTTCCGTGGTCAGTTCTTACTGTTGCTCCTTGGTCCTTGTACAGATTCCTCAGGAGAGAGACAAGGTGGCTTGGGATGCCCATCCCACCAAGAACTTGCCATAATTTATTATAATCCACACAGTCAAAGGCTTTAGAATAGTCAATGAAGCAGAAGTAGATGTTTTTCTGAAACTCCCTGCCTTTCTCCATTATCCAGCGGATATTGGCAATCTGGTCTCTCGTTCCTCTGCCTTTTCTAAACCCAGCTTGAACATCTGGCAACTCTCGCTCCATGTCTTGCTGGAGTCTTCCTTGCAGGATCTTGAGCATTACCTTACTGGCATGAGAAATAAGGGCCACTGTACGGAAGTTTGAGCAGTCTTTCGCATTTCCCTTTTTTGGTATGGGGATATAAGTTGATTTTTTTCCAGTCTGATGGCCATTCTTGTGTTTTCCATATTTGCTGGCAAATGGCATGCATCACCTTGACAGCATCATCTTTTAAGATTTTAAACAGTTCAGCTGGGATCCCGTCATCTCCTGCTGCCTTGTTGTTAGCAATGCTTCTTAAGGCCCATTCAACCTCACTCCTCAGGATGTCTGGTTCTAATTCATTCACCACACCGTCAAACTATCCTCGATATTATTATCCTTCCTATACAGATCTTCTGTATAGTCTCGCCACCTTCTCTTGATCTCTTCAGCTTCTGTTAGGTCCCTGCCATCTTTGTTTCTTATCATACCAATTTTTGCCTGAAATTTGCCTCCAATGTTTCTAATTTTCTGGAAGAGGTCTCTTGTCCTTCCTATTCTGTTGTCTTCTTCCACTTCCATGCATTGCTTGTTTAAAAATAGTTCCTTATCTCTTCTGGCTAAGCTCTGGAATAGTGCATTAACTGGCCATATCTCCCCCTATCACTGTTTCCTTTTGCTTTCTTCCTTTCTTGGGCTACTTCCAGTGTCTCAGCAGACAACCATTTTGCCTTCTTGGTTTTCTTTTTCTTTGGACGTACTTTGTTGCCGCCTCCTGAACAATGTCTCGGACTTCTGTCCATAGTTCTTCTGGGACTCTGTTTACTAAATCTAGTCCTTCAAATCTGTTCTTCACTTCCACTGTATATTCGCTAGGAATGTTAGTGAGATCATATCTGACTGGTCTGTGTATTTTCCCTGATCTCTTTAGTTTTATTCTAAATTGGCAATAAGAAGTTCGTGATCTGAGCTACAGTCAGCCCCAGGTCTTGTTTTCACCGACTGGATGGATGTCCGCCACCTTTGGCTGCAAAGGATGTAGTCAATCTGATTTCGGTGCTGACCATCTGGTGAAGTCCATGTATAAAGCCATCTTTTAGGTTGTTGGAAGAGAGTGTTTGTTATACACAGCGAGTTTTCCTGGCAAAATTCTATCAGCCTGCGTCCCGCTTCATTTTGTTCTCCCAGACCATGCTTGCCTGTGATCCCAGTTGTCATTTGACTTCCCACCTTGGCATTCCAGTCTCCTGTAATGAAAATAATGTCTCTTTTTGGTGTATTATCCAGTAGGTCCTGCAGATCCTCATAGAACTGATCTACTTCTGCTTCTTCAGCAGCTGTGGTTGGGGCGTATATTTGGATCACTGTGATGTTGAAAGGCTTTCCTTGCACTCGAATTGAGATCATTCTGTCATTTTTTGGGTTGTATCCAAGCACCGCTTTAGCGAATTTCTTATTAATTATGAAGGCTACTCCATTTCTTCGATGTTCCTCTTGTCCGCAGTAGTAGATCTGGTGGTCTTCTGATGTGAAGTGGCCCATTCTGGTCCATTTCAGTCCGCTGACCCCCAGAATGTCTATCTTTAGTCTTGACATCTCGCCAATAACAACATCCAATTTGCCCTGGCTCATAGATCTTACATTCCAGGTTCCTATGGTGTGTTGATCTTTAGAGCATTGGATTCGTCGTTCACCTCCAGTACCGTCGGCCGCTAGCCTTCCTTTCGGCTTTGAGCTAGCTGCGTCATCACATCTGGGGCTAGTTGAACTTATCCTCTGCTCCTCCCCAGTAGCATTTTGGCCATCTTCCGACCTGGGAGTCCCCTCTTCCAATGGCATACCGACAT